ATATTTCAAAACAATCACATCGACTAGCAACATCATTTCAACAGCAGCAGCAACCACAACAACAACAATTACAAGCTAATGTGCCGGAACATTATCATCAGCAATTTAATTTTAATCAATATCGATTCAATCAACAGCCTCAATATTGCCCGCAATTGCCTTTTCAACAAATTTCACAACAGCCACCATTTTTTACACAACAACTACTACGACCATTTTTTGATCTCCAACCTCAAATTTCACTTCATCAACCACAGCAACCACCATTTTTACCACAACAACTGCAACAACCACAACAACAGTCACAACTAACACTGCTGCAACCACAACAACCAAACTCACAAACATCTTTTACCCAGCAACCAATACAACCGGCAAACAATTCAGATCCTGTGAAAAGAGGGAGAAGAACGAAAGACCATCACAGAACCGCATACAATCCAAGGCAGAGAGAAATATTAGAAAATGAGTTTTGGAAGAACAAATTTTTGAACGCGATTCGAAGAGAGAAGATTGCAGCTGAAACCGATCTGGATGCCAAGCAGGTTTGCTACTGGTTTCAAAACAGGCGTGTAAAAGAAAAGAAACTACAAGGAATCGCAGGAATAGATAATGCATTTGAAAATAATGATGACGAAAGTGTTGAGTTAGATGATGTCAACCCATCCCAACAACTGCTAACACCACAACAACTGCTAACACCACAACAACTGCCACAACAACAACTTCTGCAACCACAACAACAACTTCTGCAACCACAACAACAACTTCTGCAACCACAACAACAACTGCTACAACCACAACAACAATTGCTACAAGATCTATCTTTACCAGATCATCAACAACAGCAGCAACTTCTACTACAACCACAACAATTAATGCGACCACAACAACAACAGCTGCTACAACAACTGCTACAACCACAACAACAACTGCTACAACCACAACAACAGCCGCCACAACCACAACAACAGCTGCCACAACCACAACAACAGCTGCCACAACCACAACGACAGCTACTACAACCACAACAACAGCTTCTACAGCCACTAAAATTTCTACAACCACAACAACATCTACTACAACCACAACAACATCTACTACAACCACAACAACAACTGCTACAACCACACTATAAGCTGCTACAACCACAACAACAACTGCTACCACCACAACAACAGCTGCTACAACCACAACAACAACTACTACAACCACAACAACAACTACTACAACCACAACAACTACTACAACCATAACAACATCTACTACAACCACAACACAGCTCAAAGAATCACTACTTCCCCTGAAGAAACAACAGGCAATGAATGATAATACACCATCTGAAATTTTAAATTTCCCTTCCGAACGTGAACTCACCAGATGATAACTATAACGTTGCTTTTAACCATTAACTTTTTTGAAAATTTTATTTTAATTTTTAAATTAATATTTCTGTTAGATTACATTAGATACTTTTAACGCGATGTGGCCGTTATGTGGTGGTGGTGTGGCAATGGTGGTGGGTTATGTTCTTTTATGTTCTTCCATCGCCTAAATGTTACATCGTATATAAGTGTGGGCGTTCTTATTGTACATTTTCGTTGTCATTGTAAATATAATTTCTACAAAAAATAAAATATTGAAAATGGTTATATCAGAAATAGAAAAACAAAATTAATATCAACAACTTCAACAAACCGACATGAAAATGCTCCGATGGATGCAACGAATTAGTCTGAAGGACCAGATCAAATCAACCGAAATCCTGCGTCGTGCTGGTTTAGATGATATAAAGGACGAATGCCGGCAACACCGTCTGCGGTGGTTTGGTCATGTCAAACGAAGTGGAAACAGTGCCATAACTTCTCTTGCAGATGTTGAAGTACCTGGCACACGTTCCATAGGCCGTCCAAAGAAGTCCTGGTCGCAAACAATCGAGCAAGACATGAAAGCTCTAAATTTAAATGAAATGGATACAACTGATCGTCTAATTTGGCGCAAAAAGTTGATGGCAAAGAAAATAACGTCCTACCTCGGAGAACCGAGTTTCTGGACGCAAAACGAAGATTGATTGATTGATTGAAGTTGGTTTGTGCCCAACCTAAAAAGCTATAAAAACTAGCAGCTGTAAAAATAATAAAGTGGCTCGCCATTGAAAAAAGTTGCCCACCCTTGATTTATGAACATTGATT